TTTAGGCGATACTTTAAACTAGTCACGGTGCCAAATCCAAAAGCTTCGAGGGTCAAAACTTTGTCAACGACATCTGGCAATGTGTCCGTAGTCATCTTGTTTTACGTACGATTTCAGGTCAGCCGGGTAGGCCTAACGGAGCCTTAACGGAGGGAGGGGAGGGAGGAAAAATCCAAAGCACGCTTAGAAGCTAGTGAGATATATATTGGGAGCAGAGGTCAGCATGAAACATTATCAGTCTGGAACGTTATAAAATTTCTGTAAATTTGAGTAAATCACTCATTCATCAGATATATGAATGTAAGCGTTAGGGGATTGGACACGAGTCTAGAGTATTATGGGATGTAGAGAGAGAGCACATGAGGTGGAGATTAAAAGTTGAGTTAGCTTATGTGTCGTCGTCTCTTCCACGCAATAACAGTAAGCCACGCAGCCACTTGGGGGTTTCCAAATTACGGAAGAGATTTTGCTTCAAATTAAACGAGCTTTTTTTACCTTGGAGAGAGAAGATGGATTATGGATTTCCCATATTACACCTACTTGTAGAGAAATATTGATAAGGGTTGAGCACCAAAAGATTTGGTATTGATGTTTGTTTGGGTGTGATATTTGTATCAATATTTGCTCGGTAATCAACGCGATAGCTATAATACTTTCAGTTATGATATCAATTCGGTTAAGTTCAAGATCACGGCTTTTGCTCCCCACATATCTGTAATGTATTGCTTAGTTTCGATACTTACTATTGGCCCCAGATATCTTTGCACATTAAGCTGGAACCTCTTTATCGCATATTAGCTAATTGCTCCTACCCAATTTATGAAACATCTTGTTTTCTTGTTATCTTCTTATAATTAAGGAATAAGAATAAGGAAAGCAAAGCGATCTCCCTCATAATATAGCGTTTTTGGATTATAAGTGTATTAGAGAATCTGGGAAGTATTCAATAATGAACTGATTTTCATGTACGTAAATGGAGGGCCATTCGGGAGTGTATAGACATGTACGCTCTACAGCTTTTCACATCATTGGTCCATTTTTTTTTCAGAGAAAAATGGTTTTGCGTTGTGCCAAAAATCAGACAGGTCTAAGTACGACGTGATTCTAACACGAATAAACAAAGAATCAAACAAAAATTAAAATAAGAACTTGTCATTGTCACATTTGCCATTCCTGCTTTGATTCAGTGATGAATGGCGTATATAGCATGACACTCGCCTTTTTCCCTGACCGACATCTAACTATAAATAACCTGTGATATCCTTGCAGATATACGATTTTCACAATGAAGTCATCTGCTAGAGACAATAGTCTCACTTTACACTGAAGCAAGATCAGCAAAGCACCAAACCTGATCCACAACAAATGGCATTCCTTGGGAAAAACAGGATTAAGTTTATACAGCTAATAGTTTCTACTACCTCATTTCTTGCTGGTAAGAGTGCGATGTACAGAACTTTCATTTGATCGCTCCGTACACATACTTTTTGTACTATATCACTAAAGTACTTTTATTTTTAGTTTTTTTCTTATTTTTAACCTCGACAAGAAACGGTTTCACGTGTTTGCATTTATTCGCAAGCACAGGTGTATATAATTAGCGGCTGCGACACGTTATTACTTACATTTACTGGGACATCGTTATTTATTCGCATCCTCGGATGTTATGAAGTTGCAATTCGACAATATAACATTACCTGCAATCAGCAAATTACCTGGAAGGTAGTAGTTATTCCTTAATGGACACATCACCAAAAATAGATTGGTGCAGAAGTTTCTTCGCAGATAAATATTCACAAAGAAAGCATTGCAAAAGTGTTTAGACTGTTTAGGTAAGGCTGAGGAAGTTCAGTTTTCGCAGAAGCTCTCCGTGTAGTTTGGGTGAATATTGAGTTCTGAATGAATTTTGCTTACGGAACAATTGTCTATTTCCATGCGCTTCTCAGGAAATACTTCAAATCAATAACATCACAATCCTACTTTTGTGAATAGCTCATTCCAGCTTGCATTTGTTTGTGTAAAAATATCTTTTACATATTATGTAGTCAGTTAAAATGGTAATTAAGAAACCTTATTTATTTTTTTCTGCCGGGAGAGCTCCCTAAAAAAACCTACAGCATACTAAGTAAAATTTACCTACCTCTTTTCAGCCATTGATGTTTGCTTTTTTTTTTCTAAGTTTTTAATTCGAAGTTTTTTTTAGACAAAAAGTATAGTACTCATTTTAGATTAATTGAAGTCGGAGAATGTTTCCCTGAAATTATCCTCTCGTAATCTACAGGTTTCCAAATTCTCACAATAATTTAACTAGATTTTGGCCTATCATGACTGATTAAAATAAAGAAAAAAAAATAGATAAATAATTAACTTGCATAATGGTAGACGTTATTAGGATTAAGCAAAATCCTGAAGACCGCCATAAGCCAGTCAACATAAGCCAAAGTTTTTTTGCCTAGTTTATCATTTTCTAATTATACAAAATCTATTTTAGATATTTCCTTAGCGGCAACGTTAAAGTTTGTATAGTGTTCTTATACTGAAGCGCTGGTCAGCATCTAAGAACAATAGAAGATTTATAATCACAGTTCTATACAGCGAACACATTCTAACACTAAACACCTGCATTCTGGCACAATGTGAATTGTTAGAATATTCTGAAAAGGAAAAGAAAAGAGCAATAAAAATCATCTTTCAAAGAAAGATTGCAGGTCTTCTTGCTTTGTCGTCTAAGTGGCTGTGGAAGGTTATTTTGGTGACTGTTGTCTGTCAAATGACATTATATTTGCTTTCCATCTGATTTCTAACTATACCTAATTTTAGAGATCGCCAATATAGGGATTATCTGTATCGTTCGTCGTTCTCTCTACACAAGATAAGAAAACTAATATAATTTATAGCCAAATTTACATCATTTGATAAATCAGTTATTCGTATCTGAAAATAAGGGAAACAATCTGACTTTCTTTTCAACTTCCGAGTTTAAGGTTTTGGTTTTCCAAATATATTTAGAAATCTGTAGTAATCAAACTAAAAATTAAAAAAATAAAAACCGGTCCATACGAAATCAAAGTAGCATAAAAACAAAAAACTCCACTTTTAAAGATGAAATGTTCAGCATGTCGCAATCGTGGAACATAGACAATTGATAAACTTGCTCATTAAAAATAATTATAGACCCTATTCATAAATGGCTGCTAAATTAAAATTATTTTGTATGTATTTAAATTATCCCAACTAGCCTCGTTTGAGAGTAAAAATTCGTTTGAATTATCAACTCAGAAACGAGGTTAGTTGGGCTAGTTTTAATACTTACAAAAGAATTTTTTAATTGGCAGCAATTTATTAATCGGCACTATTGATTAAGTCTATAAATGTTTCCTGGGAATAGCAACTGGTACCCATCTGGTATTGAAATTGTTCTCCAATGTTCAAGAGTGCTATCATTTTAAGCCAGTGTCGTAGGTATTTCTAAATAACTTTGCGAACTCAATTATCTCCCATTTTTAGTGACTCAAATTGAGAGTGAAGAAGTTACCTACACATCATATGACAGCCATCAACGCTGGTCATCTGCCGCGAACAACTGCAATAGTAAGGGAGCCTTCCTCGCTAAAATAAAAAACCTAGACGAAATTGTTAAAGCTAGACAGACCTTCAAACAACATCACACTACAGACTACTGGGTGGGTGTCAAGTACGACGAAAGCTTAAACGACTTTGTTTGGGCGGATGGGACTCGTGTGGCTTCGAATGCAAATTTTGAAGCAATTGTGAACAGGGCTGAGCAAGGCAAACTGGGCTTTTCGAAACGGTGTTTGTATGCTACTACTGAAGACGTCTTGGTAGCGGATGATTGTGGAGCGCATAGAAAGTACATCTGTCAAGTTGGAGAAAGTGACGACGTAATTTTGACAAGTAAGTAAAGCCTGGTCCTCACAAGCGACGCAAGCATAAGCATAAGCATAAGCATAAGCATAAGCATAAGCATAAGCATAAGCATAAGCATAAGCATAAAAGAAGCTTATTAGCCTCAAATGTGTGTGTCAAGCAACGCGCTCTTCTTTTGCTCTTTGGCATAATTTACTCCAAGTCCTCTGCTATTTTGAAAAGCAGTGTACCTTGGGATAAATCGAAAAAAGAAAAAAAAAAACACGGTTCATTGGGATATAGCTTACTTGTCTGCGAAGTTGGACTAATCGGACTTAAATATGTGGCCATGGTAGCGACGAAGGCCCTGAACTAGTTGTATCCATCCCCATCTGCCTGGATTGCATGCCTGGCATAATCGGTGCATATGTCGTTGGCATGTCATCAGCATACATAGTATGTATAAGAACAGGACTAAGAGTTTAGACCGTTTTAGCATCAACCCTGGCCTCCGTGAGTAAGTTAATAAGTTTGGCAATCCACATTTTCTCTGTCTGTCGACAAATTTAATAATGTTTCAATTGCGATGAAAATTGAAATATTTTACTTGTTTGTTGTTTATTATTGACTTAATGTGAATATGCAGGTTCACCTTCGCCTCAGCCATCATCTCACGTGCATGTACAGTCTTCATCATCCGTAACGACAGCAACATCAACAGCAGCAGTAACAACAAAAACAACAACAACAAATACAATGAAGCTAGCAGCATCGTCATTACCATCATTGTTGTCCTCATCAGCATCATCAATTTTAACTTTATCTCCCTCGATTTCTCCCACACCATTGTTACAAGGATCGTCCCATACAGTTACTTCATCGTTACGTTTACCGTCTTCAACCTCCATTCATTCTTCTTCATATGGCTTCCCTACAGTGAGCTCCACAACTGTTTTCCCTTCCTCACGCATAGAAAAGTTGGTAAGCTTTTTGATGCCGATAACTTGTCTTCTATTTGTAACTTTGTTTAAAGAGTTTCAATATTTTTTTCGTTTCCCAGTGATATTTTGTAATTATATTAGTGGATAGTTTTGGAATATAAAAATGATGAATACATCACAAATGTGCGTTACCTTCATATTTTTATCAAATTCAACGATTATTTTCGCTTATAATATAAATGGAACGAGTGATAAGATAGCGGTTAAAGCTTAATCAATCTCTTCTTTCCAAACTTCTGACCACCGTTGGAGGGGTCTCGAAAAGCCAGTGACAGTATTGTAACGAAGATGCGACTCTAACAGTTTCTAGATACAGCACCAAAGAATAGAAATTTGGCTTTTCATGAAATGTTTAACTAAAATGACAATGTTTCGAGATAATCGAACAAACAGGCGATTTTGCTAGACATATCTCAGTATTGACTGTTAAGTCGCAATCAAGGTAGTTATTTAAACGTGTCGAATGCGGCTATTCACTCTTAAAACTTAAAATGCTTTAACATTACCTTTATTATTTTTCTAGATAACAGAACATGACAGTAGACTCAAGCAGCTCAACGCTAGCGAAGCGTCGTCCTTAGCGGTAATGATGATAGTTAAGTCGAAAGTTGTAAATACATTTGGGTATCGCCGTAATTAAAATATGCAATGTTATATTCAATTTTTGAGGGTTCAGTCGGCATTTTGCAGATGGAAATTTAAAGAACCTTTTTTAGTCAATTTTCTGGCAGGAAAATACGTGTGCTTTTCCTTTTGTTTTAAACAGTTTTCTTTTCTTTCAAAATAGTTGTTGAAGGATTCACTGGTTACATGTATTCTATTCTAATGTTAGATGAAATTTTTGGCTCAGAATGCAGCTTTTTTTTTTTTTTTTTTTTTGCCCTTTTCCAACTATATGAGCGAGGGCGTCTCTTTTAAATATTATCGAGCAAATGATGAAGCTAACTTGAATCTCGTAGCAGTTATAGTACATTTCAGCACTCCAAGGAGTTTAGTAAAGGAATACGTTATGAAGACTTACGTTATAGAGAGAGGAAAATTGAAGATTAAAATTTAACGTCATTTTTGGGTTTTCTTGCAGGATGCTGTAAACCTAACTTCAAAGCTACTTGAGAATGTGATTGAAATACAGAACAGTGGCTTGAAAACCAATATTCTAGTTAGCTGCGAAAAGTTGGAGAAGTTTGTTTTGCAGTACGCCAGTCTTCACATGACGTCACACAATGGCTCCGAGACGGAACTTTTCATGGTGCAGCAAGAGATAGGTAAGGCATTGAGAAAGCCATTACCATCTAGCTTTATTATTTTATTCTAAAATTTTATTCACTGAAATAACACAAATCCATAACTATTCAATATAAGATATATTCAATACAAGATTTCAAGGCGCATCAGTATGGAATTCCATCGATGAAGATATGTAAAATGTCTTTTCTTTCAACCGGCTGCATGGTATTTTTAATTTTTATTTCGGGTAGCGAAGCTAACACTGCTATTATTTTTGCTTTCACTCTATAACATTTTAATTTCTAACTCTGGGGTTAAATTAAAATGTTTAAAGTCTTTGTTGTTTGCTGTTAGAAAAGTGTTCGCCCTTCTTGGATTGTTTCTACCCAAGCGCTGCGCAATTCCATTCATAAAACCCTGCGGTTAAGACTGCACGTAATAATTGGGGATCCAACGCTATGGGTATAAAACGACCTTACTATGCAATTATACCGAATTAGTATGCTGCATATTTGTATGAACTCCCTGTGAAGTGTATCAAACTGTTTACGTTACTTTAATAATCAATGCATTTTTCCACATTTCATAGTATTCATTCTATATTTTCCAGGATGTTCTATTAATTTTAATTTTATAGTTCTTGTCCCCCTTTACCTTTTTTAAACGTCTGGTTTTATTTTGCTGTAGTATTTCGATTGATTTAAATATCTCTTCTTTTTTTTCGCTCGTCTGCCAGGCATGACAGTAATGAAACTACCTGCATATCATAAGCGTGATGTCATTTTTCCATCTGAAAGAAGTTCTTTTGACGAAAGTTTTATACAAGAGGAGAAGGGTGCCATGAGACTTCCCGCCAGCCTCTTCGCTGCTAGAGGTAACGAAAATTTATTGTTTATCCTTTTTAGGTTAATTGCACTTGATTACCTTAAATTTTGACTAACTCCTGGCCAATTCGCAAGAATAGGAAGTTAGGTGTCTTCAACAGACAGTCCATCTCATCAACTTGTTTGTTGTAGCAATTACTTGGTATAATAAGTATTTTGGAGAATGAAATATTTTTTTCCATGTTTATTCAATCTGTTTCAGAACGCTATGTGGTCTGTATGCTGTACAAAAATGCCGCCGAATTAATGCCCGAAGAGGAGAATGGGGTAGATAACGAGTAAGTATTTTTTTTTTT